TATTTCTACCTGCAATCGGTCCCAAATGCTTCCTTACTCCAAAACCCCAAACAACACATAAAAAACCCTATCGCGATTACTGTAATAATAAAAAATTAGGGTTTCGACAACATACTTTTCGATTCGACTGCAGCAACAAACAAACAAACTTCGCTTTAGAAACGCCTTCTGAAATGCAGCAACAATTACTCTTCGATTTCAAAAACTCGTCCGTTCTATCTATTTTCAGAGGATATTTAGCTTATATTTTCATCGGATATGTTATTTATATTTAATCGATACAAATACAAAAGTGTCGATACTTTTATGTCAGGTGTCGATACTTTCGAAAGGATAATTACCTATTTCTTTGAAAGTGTCGATAATTTATTACACGTACTTACGAAAGTATCGACACTTTCAATATATCCGGTATCATTTTACCGTTTTTATCATTTTGATACCGGTTTTATCATATTTTTACCTGTTATATCGTTGTGGATCGATATTTTTTTTTAAAGTATCGACACATTATAGGCGCTATAACTGCTTCTCTTTTAAATTCACAAAGTGTCGATCCTTATATAACGTATCGACACTTTTAATTTTACCGGTTTTATCATTTTGTTACCGGTTTATCATATTTTACCTGGTATATCGTTTTGGATCGATATATTTCTTAAAAGTATCGACACTTTTTAGGATTTAAAACTGCTTTTAAAGTTATGTAATTTATGTTTCAATTTATTTAATAGTGTTTTATGTTTTCCACCTACAATATTAATTTAATAATTTAATTTACACAAAATTTTATTTGATTGTTTTGATATTTTATAAAATATTATTTAGAATTTAAATTTAACAATATTAACCAAATATAATAATAAATATGTTTTCAACAGTGAAATAAGTATGGACACTTTTATAAAAATGATATATACTTTTTTGAAAGTTATGTAATTTATGTTTCAATTTTTTTAATAGTGTTTCATGTTTTCCACCTACAATATTAATTTAATAATTTCATTTACACAAAAAATTATTTGATTGTTTTGATATTTTATAAAATATTATTTAGATTTTAAATTTAACAATATTAACTAAAGATAATAATAAATATATTTTCACAGTGAAATAAGTATGGACACTTTTATAAAAAGGATAGATAATTTACAATATAACAGGTAAAAATATGACAAAACCAGATTCATTATGACAAAACCGGTAAAATTTACTTGATATGTTAAAAGTATGGACACTTTTATAAAAAGGATAGATACTTACCGATAACCAAAATTTACCAGTTACCAAATTTTTTAATAGTTTTTCATATTTTCTACCTAAAACATTATTAGTTGTCAACATAATAGGTACCGCTAAACCGAATTTATTAAATACATTTTAATGTATCCGGTAATGCTGTATATTAGCCGTATATTAACCCGCCTTTCCTGAGACATTCCCCTTTATATTTAATTTTAAAAATAAAATAAAACAGAAATGCCGAATTACCGGTCAATTCAGCTTTTGCATGACTCACAAGAGAGAGAAAATAAGTAAAGAAGAGAGAGAGAGAGAGAGAGAGAGAGAACACTAGAAGAAACTTAGAAAAAAGGCTAGAAGGTTGAGCCAATTTTTTTTTTAGACAAACAAGTCCACAAGCCTGTCCTTTACTCGCTTTCTCTCGTCTAAGATTTAGTAAATTTTCTTTAGCCTTTCTCTCGATCTACACATCAGCCGATCCCTTTGTGTTTCTTACGATGCCGTCTCGACGTAGAACCCTCTTGAAGGTCATCATCCTCGGTGACAGCGGGTTCGTTGTCCCCCCCCCTTTTTTTAAGACCGTCCGTACAATTTCTGCGTGTATATTCGCATGTTTTTTCATTTTTGAAAGATTTCATTTCTAGGGTTTCCGCACGGATCTTTCGGTTCTAATAGCCGGTCTCGTTTGTTGTTAATCTCTAGTTAATTTTTGAAATACGATGTTGATGATTGTGATTTGCAATTGATTTTTATTTTTTCAGGGTAGGGAAGACGTCTTTGATGAATCAGTATCCTACAGCTGTTCTTATTTCTAATTATTTGAAAAAAAAAATTGAGGTCTTATTTGTTGTCAGATAATTGTAATTATGTTACTATTAGTTATGGTTGTGCTTTCCCTTACATTTTACTTTAGATATGTAAATAAGAAGTTCAGCAATCAGTATAAGGCTACGATTGGGGCTGATTTTTTGACCAAGGAAGTGCAGTTTGAGGATAGGCTTTTCACCTTACAGGTTAGATTTCACACTTATATCCATGTTTGATCTGATGAAATGATAGTACCCTTTTTTATTGTGCACGAATACAAACATTTTAGCATTTTGCTGAGCTTGCTTTAGCTGTTGCATTTGTATTTTTGGGATCTTAATTTCCAATTCTGAGTATGGCTTGTTTTTATGGGTTTTTTTTGGTACAAAGAAGAGGCTTGATTTTCATCCCTAGCTCATGAACCGAGCTTTAGCTTTGACAGACTAGAGCCTAACCATGATTTTTCCATTACATAAATGTATCTCTGCACTATGATATTTGTTAGGTCAAAACTGTCAATGGCAACCTTTCTTTATATTCATTGAAAATCGCATGGCTTCTTTTTTCAGTAGTTAAATCATCGATGAGGAGTGGATTTGCGATGTTTGACTAAATAATTATGTTGTTCCACTCATTGATTAGGCTTATGTTGGCTGCCACATGAAGTTTGTTTATATTAATCAGCTCTATCTTTGATGGACTAGAGCTTAACCAGGATTTCTTCATTACATTTAAGATCTGTAACAGATGTATCTCTCCAGTTAACTCAAAATTGCCACGGGCAACCATTTTTTACATTCATTGAAGAACTCAATGGGTTTTTTTTTCTTTTTTTTTCCCTGTAGTTATATTATTTTACAAGGAGCGACATTTTGATGATTGACTAGAGAATTATGTTGCTCTGCTCATTGATTAGACTTATGTTGAGTTGTTGACTACTGCATGAATTTTGTTTTTATCAACAAGTTCTTTGTATTTTAGTATTAGGCAATCTTATGGGCCACTATCTTGAGTATATTATAGAAAATTTTAGCATAACATTCTAAAAATATTCAGGTTTTCTTTAAGTTTTTTTTTGGGCGTTATTTGAGTGGCCACTTTGCTCAAAATTCATGAACATTCGTGTTCTCCTTTTCCCAGATATGGGACACAGCTGGACAGGAAAGATTCCAGAGCCTCGGTGTTGCTTTCTACCGCGGTGCTGATTGTTGTGTTCTTGTATATGATGTGAACTCAATGAAATCGTTTGATAATCTGAACAACTGGAGAGAAGAATTTCTTATCCAGGTATATATTCTGAACTTCTGAATGCTATTGAAAACCATCAGCCAGCTCTCTGGGATTTACTATCGTAAATTGATGATTTGAAAAACCTTGCAGGCAAGCCCTTCAGATCCAGAGAATTTCCCGTTTGTTGTTTTGGGAAACAAAGTTGATGTAGATGGTGGAAACAGTAGAGTTGTATGTATTTTTTTAGTTCTTCCCTCCCTCTACAATCTCTCCCCCCGCCTTGACAAAGATATAAGTATCTCATTTGTTTGACTCTCTAGGTGTCTGAGAAAAAGGCTCGAGCATGGTGTGCGTCGAAAGGAAATATCCCATATTTTGAGACATCTGCCAAGGAGGGAGTTAATGTGGAAGAAGCTTTCCAATGCATTGCAAAGAATGCCCTGAAGAGCGGGGAAGAGGAAGACATGTAAGTTAAACACCATTATCAGTTTTCTTCCTGCAGGCATTTACATTCCCTAGCATATTTGAATTATGGGAAAAACCTTGAAGTATACTTGGTAGTGTCAGTTGTAACACTAGTTGGTTGCATTGACTATTTGCATGACATATTTGATTTTGAGTACACATAGTTAACATCTTGGCTTCTGAAGTTAATTTTTCCATTAGTTTTTGTTTAATTCCGAACTGTCTGATTTATACATAATTTCATTTTTTGTTTTCTCATGTGCGTGGATGTTTAACTTGTGAAGATACTTGCCCGACACCATCGATGTTGCAACCAGCAGCCAACCGAGGTCTAGTGGATGCGAATGTTGAAATGTACCATGTGATTTTCCCCTGGCTCAGGAAATAAGTACCCCTAAAGTGTTACGAATGATTTGGTCTTACCATTTACCCAACCAATTTTATGGATTCATAGTGTTTGTCTGATAAACAAAAATGGTGTGTTTATGCTTTTGAATTGGTTGGATTTAGTTGTGTGGATTCTTTGTAATATTCTATGTTCCTCATTTGTTTTTCTTTGTTTGAAATCAGATTTTATGCTATTTCATAATCTCAAATGTTACCCCCAGTTTCACTTGCATTTAAAAGCTTGCTTTAGATTGTTATTGTTCCAAACAAATTTTCATCAGACGGCTTGAATCGACATCGTTGTTCTTCTTTGTTTTGCTAAGGCAATGACCTACTCTGGCTTTCTTTGGCGGTTGAGAACTAGGAACTCTAATAGGCTTATATAGGTTTAACCTTACATTTTTCTAAAAGAAGTATTATTTTATTCATTGTATAGATATCTTTGTCCGCGTAGAATTAGGTTCAATCTAGTGTTTTTATGGGATATAGGATAAATAATTTATATTTGTAGGATTAAATATGTCAAGGGACCCTGTACAATTTCAAATTTTAATTTTAATCATTATATATATATTTTTAGCAAAACTTGTATCAGTACTATATTTTAAATAATAATACCTCCCTTAATTTTTGTTCAATTTTATGATCCTTCCCTCAACTTATGTTCAAATATATTGTTACCTATTGATATGATAGATATAAAAAAGGCAAAATGACTATTGTAATCCTCTACATTTACATTTGTTTTTTTTTCAGTTTGACCCTTAACCTTTAACAATAAATTGAAATTTCTTTTGAATGGATTATCAATCAAGTTTTAACCTCACTATTTTGAAACAAATTCAAACACAATATTACTCCATACACAATTTTCTGCCACAGGTAGGAAACGATTCTCGCAAAGAGATGAGAGATGCAAAAGTTAGCCATGAAAGGGAAGGAAAAAGGATAGGGCAGATCAAACTGTTGGTCGAATGCAAGCCAGTTAGGTTTGGAATGACTGGAGCTCTCACTCTGTCACCGAGGAACTGCAAAGTCTAAGACATAACAACGAAGAAATATGGAAGATAATCAGTAGAAGGAAAAGCTCGACCGAAATATTTTCCTTTAACTTTTCTGATTACAACAAAAAGTATGAAGTTGAAGAAGAAAAGCATGCACGAATTGGATATGGAAGTTAACAGGAAGGGTATATATCGAAATCTGCAAGAACATTCTGGGTTCGAGATAAGCCAGGTATAAGGACATCACTTCGGAACTGGTTAGAGACTGATATGGACACCCAAACTATATGAAAGGCCTAAAAGTCCTATCATGTCGTAAAGGTTTGAGTACCCAAGCAAGAACAGCATGACATCTTACCATTCAACTCAGCATAAAGCAACTCGACGAAACAAATTGAAAAGGAAAAACATAGCAAAACCAACAAAAACAAAGGAATGTAACTAATCGATCTCTAGGATATTATGGTTTTGGAGCCAAAAAGATTTCACTTATGCAGAAAACAAAAAATACAAAGCTAAGTTAAAAATACAAATATAAATCTGCAAGCAATGCATGATTTCAGAATACAAAGACAATCTCGAACAAATTGTTTTCAATTCCATAGGTTTCTAAAACGATCCTATGCTTTTATTTGTCGAAGAAAGGATCCAGCCTTGTCACAATGGTGTTGCAAATCCTATTTCATGAAGTAGGAAAACAAGTTACAACATGCATTTTTAACATAAAGGATGAGGCAATGCAAACTACAAGCAGTAAAAATTTAAAAGAGCATCACAAATCATTTCTGTCTAAAAGTTCTACTTTGGGTTCTTGAAAAATCATCCAATCGCATTAAAAATTTAAAAGAAAATAAATTTTAACCTTGAGAGAGCCAGCTCCAGCAGGAGGAATCAACAGCAATGCTCGATTGTAATCGAGCAGAAGCAATAGCACTATGAAGTGGTATCATTGACTCCACTCCTCCCAACACCGATAGGATCCTTTAAACCCAGAAATAATTTAATAATTTGAGACGAAATTTAGATGGAAAAAGGAAAAGCTAAAAAGAAAGTACCTTGAAGCACAAGGGAGGGCTCTTTTTGATGGAGAAGAGAAAGGCGGAGAGATTGATTTTGGGGTTAGGTTCTTTAAAATAAAGGCTTTGGATCGAACAGAGAGGGATCTAGAACCCGCCATCACCGCTGACCTGCAAAAAGACGCCATTTTTTGCTTGATTCTGGATGGTGAAACCAGAGGTTGAAGGAGGAGGCTAGTTCAGCAGTTCGTTTCCATTTCATCCTTAAACCCTATAATTTGGGTTTGAGAATTTAGGTTTGGGCTTGCTAAAACGACGCCGTTGCCGGACTTTACCTAAGCCCAATAGCATAATAGGCCTGCAATTGCCGTACAGAAAACGGCACCGTTTGCATCCAATGTTTTTAAAAAGGTGGAAAATATCACACAATGAAACAGGAGGTTTTCCAGTCACAGCTCCGATCGGCGAAGACCTAATCGTCTTTCATCCGTTTAATCACACTTGCGACCGCCAAGAAAAAAATATCAATGGCTGCGATCTTCGCTCGCAACTCTCTCAATGCTCTCCGAGCTCGACATCTCGTAAGAACTTACTTTCTTTTCCTCCTCCAAAGCTAACGAATTTTCTTATTTTTTGTTTGGGTTTTTCTTTTCAGCGATACCCTAGACTTGTATTTTTCATGATATCGATTATCATTTCTCCATTGAAAACTGTTGGTTATATAGATTTGTGGGAGTTAAAAGTGTTAATTTTATGGCATGTAGTAATTTAATTTGGAAATGAATTAAAGAAAAGGGCAAGGCTCCGTCGTTAAGTTTAGGTTAGAGACTTCCTCTATCTTGTTGTTAATATGGTTTTTTTTCTTCTGATTTTCGATTTCTTTCAGAATTACCGTTAACCAATGCAATTTTATTAATTGAGTTTAGCAATTATTTGGTTATGTATGAATAGGTTTTGTCAGGGAAAGCGTTGCAGGGTTCACAACACTATGGGTCGCGACTCGGTGCACACTCCTACAGCACCAATAAAGGTTGCCCTAATCTGTGTAATTCAATTTTATTTGTCCTTTTTTTGAAAGGGGAAGTATGGATAATTCTTTGGGATATGTATGTGAAGTTAATAATATGAATTATAGCGCAATTGTCTTTGCTATTAATTGGAAGGGACTGAGTTCCTTTGTGTTTCAAAACAGCCTGCAATGAGGAATGAGTCCTTTCTGGCACTATTGCACTTGGAAATCTCTCTAAGCATGCCTGTTATAGCCTTTTTTTCAATACATGGTCACTGATCCCGGTGCTGTCTACTTTGTTTATGTTTTCATGTATGTAAACTGCAGATGATGAAGAAAGAGAGCAGCTTGCAAAGGAGATTTCAAAGGACTGGAGTTCTGGTAATTTAGAGCACTGAAATGTTTGAGTTCCGTTACTTGTATGTGATTTATTTTAGGTAATAAATGGTTTCTTATGCTCTACTAAATTGCAGTTTTTGAGCGAAGCATAAACACATTGTTTCTTACTGAAATGGTCCGGGGTCTCAGTCTGACACTCAAGTACTTCTTTGAGAAAAAAGTTACTGTAAGCATCTTTCTGATCCTTTTTTATTTATATTTTTTTTTTGAGGGGAGGGAGCGGATTGTATGGATATTGAAGCAATGCATGAATTATGATACAAACCTGGCTTTTCTTATGCAGATTAACTATCCATTTGAGAAGGGTCCATTGAGCCCTCGTTTTCGAGGGGAGCATGCTCTCCGACGATACCCAACCGGAGAAGAACGTTGCATTGCTTGTAAACTTTGTGAAGCTGTAAGTTGAAGCTTCATCTAATTGATCCCATTATCTGAGTTTCCTTTTTATTGGATGAAAATGATAGCATCATGCGGTGCTTCAATATGATGATAAATATTATCATTTGGGGAGAAACCATCCATTGCTTTCTGGTATCGACACCTAACTGGAAATGGTAATATTGATACTTAAAATGGATATTATGGTCACTGCATTGATTCTTTTTGTATCATGCATCAAACATTGGTTTCTATATTTCTTGTGTATATTAGCTGTATTACACTTTCTGGTTATAGAAGGGTTGTATAGTCTGCCATTGTTTATCTTGGAGAGAAAGCAATCTATGAAAAGTTGGATCCAGTCAAACTGATATATTGTTAGCTCTGATTAAGTTTCTTTTATCTTTATTAAATATGGATTTACTATCATGATTCTCATGAAGTGGTGGTTTATCAGATATGCCCAGCACAGGCTATCACAATAGAGGCTGAAGAACGAGAAGATGGAAGTCGTCGGACAACAAGGTTAATTCTCTCTCCTGCTCCTCTTCTTCTTCTTCTTCTCTGTTAACGCTTTCTTCTTCCTCTAACATTAGTTCAATTTTGTAGGTATGACATTGATATGACCAAGTGTATCTACTGCGGACTTTGCCAAGAGGCATGCCCTGTTGATGCAATTGTTGAAGGACCCAACTTTGAGTTTGCCACCGAGACTCACGAGGTTCATAATATTTTCAGTTTAAATCTACGGTCGCTTGTATGTTGAAGTAAATTTGTTAATCGTTGGTGTCATTGCAGGAACTTCTTTACGACAAAGAGAAGCTGCTCGAGAATGGTGACCGATGGGAAACTGAGATCGCAGAGAATCTCAGATCCGAAAGCCTTTATCGCTGATGTGGCCCTCTCCTTTCTTGCTCAGACCAGCTACTGCCTGAAAAATAAAATGATACATGCATGTTTCTTGCAATGTCATATACCATGTTTTGCAAGCATTTATATTGCGTGAATCCATCCTATGAATTATTTTGTTTTAACTACATTCCATAGCAATGATGGATAAACAATGACCACGTAGCATGATTATTATACTTATAATTAAAATTTCGTGTTAATTGTATAAAATGTCCTCAAATTATGGCTTGAATCTTAAAATTTCTGATTGACTGTAAGAAATATCAAATTATGTATTGGTTTTTTAATGCCTAATTTTCAAACCATGGCTCAAATTTTAAAAATTTTATTCGAGTTATTGTCATTATTTTAACTATAAAATGCTTATTTACAAATTTAAATTAATTATAAATAGAATTTAGCTCGATTAATTATAACTTTTAAACTTTAAAATGCTAATGTTAAGATTGATTTTTAGTTTCTCGAATTATTTTCATTTTTAATTAACAGCATTGAGGTTTTTGGGATATTTTCTTCTGGAGGTGATCGTTTTCGTCTTCTTGGTTGGGTAGTTAATTTCATTCGATTTGAGAAGTATACTCTTCTATTCGAATTAGATTTGATTTGAATTCAAAAAGGTCTCATCCGATTCAAAATTCATTTTTTTTATAAATATTTATATCCGACTTGATCCGATTTAAATATATAAAAAATTATTTTTATTTTCGACAAAATAGAGAGAGAAATATCATATCAATTATCTCTAAATATATAGAAAAAATACTATTATCTTGGACAGAAGATTTTTCACCTTACACTCAATCAAATCTTGATTTTGCTTCGTATTTGGTTCACGGAATGTAAGATTACCAGTGAGAATAAAAGATTATCAGAGAATATGATTACTGTGAATGTTGTATTTTGTGTTTGGTTAGTTTAGCATGAATGTAAGATTACCGTGTTTGGTTAAAGGAATAAAATATTATTGGTATGTATATTTGACCAAATTGTCCTTATTATATATTTGTTTTTTTTAACAAGTTGAATTCTACTATAATATTACTATAAGATATTTATATATTTTCTTTAAAAAATTTAAATTCATAAAATTTATATAAATTTTTTTAAAAAATTGAAAATATAAAAAGGTTTAATGAATGGGTAAAATTTTATTTTAACCACTGAACTTCATATAAAATTTTAATTATAGATTTTTTTTTTTGTAAATCTAAAATAGTTTAAGGATAAATTTGTAATTTAACATTCGTAGAATTTTTATTATTCAATGACAGAAGAATGATATTTTTGAGAAAAAAATTAAGGGCATTTTAGTCCAAAACGCCGGTAATCCAACAATATCTAACGGAAGGGAGGTAATGATATTCCCGGTAATAAATCCAAAAAAATCCACTATTGCTAATAAAATATTATCGGGAATGAGATTCCTGGCCAACCAAACAAGGGAATGTAGATTACATTCTCATGGGAATCCAACATTCGCCAAACCAAACAGCCCCTAAGGGTGCGGTGCGTTTGGTTCACGAATGTAAGATTATCATTGAGAATAAAATATTACGAGGGAATAAGATTACTAGGAATGTTGTATTTTGTGTTTAGTTGGTTTAGCAAGAATGTAAGATTACCGTGTTTGGTTAAATGAATAAAAGATTATTAGAATGTATATTTGACCAAATTGTCCTTATTATATATTTGTTTTTTTAAAAAGTTGAAAAATATTTATATATTTTCTTTAAAAAATTTAAATTCATAAAATTTATATATTTTTTTTACAAAATATATAATTTAAAAATGATTTAATGAAAGGGTAAAATTTTATTTTAACCCCTAAACTTCATATAAAATTTTAATTATAGATTTTTTTTGTAAATCTAAAATAGTTTAAGGATAAATTTGTAACTTAACCTTCGTAGAATTTTTGTTATTCAATGACATACTAAGGATATTTTTGAAAGAAAAAAAAATTTAAAAGCATTTTAGTCCAAAACGTCGGTAATAACAGTACCTAAGAAAAGAGAGGTAATGACATTCTCGGTAATATACCCAAAAAATCTACTATTGATAATGTAAGATTATCGGAAATACATTCCCGGCCAACCAAACGGGAGAATGTGGATTTCATTATCATGAGAATCTCACATTCCCCCAACCAAACACACCGTAAAAGATTTAACTTTACTGGATCAGTTCGGAATATGTCGGCTTCGTGAAATTTTGGTCTTTAGGAGTGGCAAAAAGGCGTTATTACTATTGTAATAAATAAGACAAATGCAAAGTAGGTATCCGAAATGGGTTCCAAGGTCTAGTAGTCAGGACATTAGGCTCTGAATCCAGTAACCCGAATTCAAAGCTCGGTTGGAACCTTTTGAAATTGCCAACTCTTGTTGGTGGATCTTGTTTGTGGAATACATGTTTTCTTCTTCTTCAGCTCTCGTTGCTTTTGGTGGATCTTTCAATGGAAAACATGTCTGTCTGTGATATATGAAGAAATCCTGGACAATTACAATTTACACTGCACAGCTTCAATGCACATCTTGGAGTCCCAAATTCGATGCAGGCATTGAGCTCGAAAAAGCCCGACTTACCTCGTTGAAACGAGCTTCGTCAGGTGCCGACCAGCAGGCATTCGAATGGAAACACCGCCAGTCTTATTGAGAACAAAAAATGAGACCACTCTCTGCTGTTAGTTACAATCCTAGTCTTTCGATCTCTTGCGCTTCCTGTGGCTCCGGGAATATCTCCTTCAAATGCCATTGATGTAGGACCGAATGGTCGCCTCCTCCTTTCCGAGCACTACTGCCCAGCGAACCCGTTGTTCCCAAATGTTTGAAACTATTTCCGCCTTCTGCTTGAGCAGCGGAGGCTGCGGGAGTAACTGCTATATCCGAAGAACTTTGACGGAAGCTACCGAAAAGAGCAGCATTCCAAGAACCTCTTGAGGATACTGTCCTAAGCCTTGCTGAGCTTGAATTATCCTCCCTAACCACCCTCAATGGATTTTCCAAAGCTTTGAGAACATATTTCATTAGGGGCCGCCGAGATGATTTCGGATTTAGACACCGTCTAGCCACAATGGCCATGGCCCAGACTTCCTCCAATAGGTCCTCGTCCACGAGTAGAGACGGATCCAAGATTTTCGTCACGAGTTCCCTATCGTATATACTGATGCATGGTAGTGTCTGCTCTAACCATTCCTTCATCCTGGTCTCACTTGACGCACTGATGTCGAGCTTTCCGGTTACCAATCCGAGTAAAACCGTCCCGAAGCAGTATACATCGTATGCACATAATGCTGCAGATGAATCTAGCCGTTTTACAAATAAAAATGAAATTTCAGAGAAAAGCCCAAGGATATCACAGCAATAAACATGTTGAAACTAACAGCTAACAGATCGAAGAGCAAAAGGCGAGGAGATAACGATTGTGATCTAAATATGTACACATACCTGAAGAACCCTGTTCCGATGACCTGCAGGCAACAAAGGAAAAGCCATATGAAACTGGTACATTTTGTTTGAAACAGCAAACATCGGAAACGAGAACATAGAGGCGCAGCAACTGTTACTCGGGTTACAATTCGACAGAATACTTACCGTGGCAATCGCTTTAATCTTGTAATTCTATTTTGATTACCACTGCCTTCTTGAGGGCAGGCCTTGCTCAAACTCCCGAGTCGAACTTCGAACTTATCATCGAGAAGTATACTGCTAGCTTGAACATCTCTTCAACAACAAAACAGAACATGTCACTGCCAGTTCTTGTCTAAATGTGTATTGCACAACTGAATGAATTGAATACACACACGAGGCAGCCGGATTACATATTCGCTAACCGATGATATGCAGAAGAAAACTGTAAAAATACCTGTGGACAAGCGGAGGTGTGCATTCATGATGCAAATAAGAAAGGCCTTCGGCAGCTCCTATGGCGATTTTCAATCTTGTTATCCAATCTAATGACTTTAAACCATCACCTTCCGAATTGTTTTTCCGGAACAAGGAACTCGATAAGTCCCCATTCGACATGTATTTATAAACCAGTAACTTCTCGTTCTCATTCTCGAAGCAGTGTCCCAATAGCGGAACTACTCGTGTATGTGCAACTTTGCTAAAGAAATCCAGTTCTGAAAGGTACACTTCCTTTTTAATCGACTGCAAATCGATCCTTTTGACGACAACGGGAAGCCCGCTTTCTAAGACACCCTTGAAGAGATCACCAGATTGACCATGCTTGATGAGGTTCGCATCGGTGAAATCAGCGGTTGCTTGAAGAAGTTGCTGATATGTAAACAGATCACCTAGGCTCGAAAAATTACTAGCTAAGCCAGATGAAGGATGTGTTGCTTCAAGAGTAACTTGTCCTACATCAATTCCTCTATGATTTACTTTCTTCCGTCTGCGGACACATCGGACCAGCAATAGCAACGACATGATTAACACGATGAATCCGAATCCTCCGAAGACTGCAGCCAATATAATTCTGTTTCTGTTGCTGCTGCTGCTCCTATGTCTGGGAGCTGAAGGTTCCGAGGAATTCGGGCGCCCGAAATTATCGAAACTTAGGCCCCTCTCAGCATAGAATGATACACAATCCGTCAAAGTCCTCTGGCTCGACACATCTTGGAGACAATTAGTACTAAGAGATGCATTCACAGACACATAGTCCAGAACCCTGCCTTCGAAGTAGTTCCCCGACAAATTCGAAGAACTAAACCTTCCGACTATGGATGTGAGACCTCCGTAGAACATGTTGCGGGAAACGTCGAGTACAGAGGCAATGCCATTATCATCATTTGAAGAAACATTAGGGAGCCTCCCGGTGAAGTTATTGTGCGAGATATCGAGCAGGTTCAGCCCGGATATCAACCATATTACTTCAGGAAGTTCACCAATGAAACTATTGCTCGAAAGATTCAGGATTCGTAGTCTTGAAAGCGTCCCAATGCTCGAAGGAATTGATCCGGTAAGCGAATTCTTCGAAAGATCGAGAACCGATAGGCTTAACAATTGATCGAAAGTCGAAGGAATCTCCCCGGTGAGCCTGTTATCGGACAAATATAGACGTGACAAGCTACTGAAATTGCCAATACTCAAAGGCAAAACACCAGTGATGTTACAAGAATTGAGATCCAACACTTGAAGTTTCAACAGCCTTTGTCCGAACCAATCAGGGATCGAACCAGGAAGCAAGAACTGGGAGGCATTAAAAGAGATCAAACCGGTAAAATTCATAAGAGAATCGAGGGCAAACCGTGGGTTTTGTTCACCGATCCGGGTTCTTCTAAACCCAGAAATGTTAATCCCGGAAACACTACCGTTTTCACATCGGACACCGTTCCAACCCGAACAAGGGTCGACTCTTCTAGGCCAATCCCTTCTCCTAAGACCCAAAGACGATCTGAGCTCAAATAAAGCTGCTAACTCGCTTCTCGAACTCAGTCGCTGCTCAACTGTAGACTCAAAGAACGTCAGCAAAAAGAGATATAACAAAGCTAATACCCCCATGCTTCTCCGATTAATCGCCATTTTCATCTAAACATTTTCTGAACAAAGCTGTGATCTTGATATCCCAAAACTTCAATTTTTTATTTATAAAAAGTTGTTTAAAATTGCTGGTAAGCAATCTTAATCAACTTCTCCTCTTCTTTGTGTTTTGTTTCCTTGTTTAAAATTATGAATTATTTCGTTGACGAAAGAGAGTAAAAACAAATCTGAAATTGATTATAATTTGATTAATCAATGATGATGGTATTAGAGAAAAGGTGGTGGGCGGTCAAATACTGAAGTGGTGGACTTTGAACACTCTTGTCTCTGTCTCTTTCCTCTTTTGAGTTCTGACAAATCAACTTGTGGAAAAGATTTTTCAGGAAATGGAAAGAAAAAGATGAACCGGTGGCTTACTTTTCCAGCTGTTGATTAACAAAGACACCCCAATTTCAGCAATTTACAACAATATATTTTAGAGAAAATCGCCTCAGTGACCAAAAAAAAGTTATAATATACGATTTTAATCAATTTTTTTTGGATTTGCCAAAATGACCAACAAAATCGCAACGCGAAATAAAAATCGCAACGCGATCCCCAGAATCGCAAATCAGTTTCCAGAATCGCAAATCAGTTTCCAAAATCGCAACGCGATTCTTGAAAATCGCGATGCGATAGTACAAATTCGCATTGCGATTTTCCATAATCGCAACGCGAATATGAAAATCGCAACGCGAACACATAAATCGCAACGCGTATCCGTAAATCGCAACGTGTATCCGTAAATCGCAACGCGTATGGGTAAATCGCAATGCGTATCCGTATATCGCAACGCGTATCCGTAAATCGCAACGATAATACATAAAATCGCAACGCGTATCCGTAAATCGCAACGCGATATTTAAAGCGCCATTATAATCGCTACGCGTATTTTATTTTCAAATTACAAAAAGAATATTAAGACAAAATCCCGTAATCGCAACTCATAACCTAAAACCTAAAATCACAACTCAGTCCCATCTCCATCTCTCACTCTCTACGGCGAAGAAATCCGTCCCCATCTCCGAAGATTTCCGTCCCCATCTCCGGCGAAATCCCTCACAACCATTCACGGTCAGAAATCCCTCACAATATTCAGAAATGGAAAATCAACCTCCGAGGGTTAGTTTTTTAATTATTTTTATTTTGAAATGTTTGCATTATTGTAGGTTTTTCATATTGAAACTGATGATAAGTTTACTGGTCATTTCAATAATAGATTAACCATTTCACTTAGATTTCATTTCGCGTTACGATTCTGTCGTTGCGATTTTCATTTCGCGTTGCTATTCTCTCGTTGCGATTTTCAAGTTAGTATTTGTCTTTGTCTTTGTCTTTGTTCTGTCTTTTGGTTGAAGTAATGCAATCCATTCAAGTTTCAATTTGCAGAAGAGTCGCAACGAGATAAATGAAAATCGCAACGAGAGAATGACTGTCGCAACGAGAGAATCGCAACGCGAAATGAAAATCGCAACGAGAGAATCGCAACGCGAAACCAAAATCGCATTGCGATTTTCATTTCGCGTTGCGATTCTCTCGTTGCGATTTTCATTTCGCGTTGCGATTCTCTCGTTGCGATTGTCATCTCGCGTTGCGATTCTCTCGTTGCGATTTTCATTTCAACCAAAAGACAAAACAGTGTTGCAAATTTTAGTTTCAAGAATAAACTACTACTTTTTATGTTTATTGTTTTTGGTATATCTTCACAGTGTAGTTTTTGGTATATCTAACTTGGTATGTTTATTGTTTTTGTAGAAATTTTTTTCGGCTCAATTGACCTTGAGAAATAAAGTCAGCCTGGCCACTACAATTGCAAAGAAGCTTTCACCTGCTCAAAGACAATTGTTTGAGGAAACCTGCTTCGGGCCATGGCTGAGAGTACAGCATCCGGGTGGAGATGCTAATTTGACCCATTTGTGGCTTCAGACCATGACATCAAATCTACCCGACAGTATACAACGTGGTGAGGAAGAGATATGGTTTCATTTTCCACCAGCGTATACTTGCTTTGGGCGGAAGGAGTTCTGCTTAATCACTGGTCTACGATTCGGACACGATGATGTAGGCCGGTACACTCGTCATATCGCCCGCCCATCATGGTTATCCCGGGTTTTTCCGGATGAGTCAATGGAGAAGCCGAACCTACATGTTGACGACCTGAAGAAATTATTTAATAAGAAAGCTGGTTTCACTCGGATGGAAGACGTCGATGTTGTCCGAGTATGCCTTCTACTACTTGTGTATGCCGGCTTTTTAGGCAGAGAGGCCAGACAACCTATTCATCGGGAGCTAATAATATTGGTAGAGGACCTGAATGCATGGAATCTGTTTCCGTGGGGTTCGTATATATGGAAAGCTACCTGGACTAAGTTGTCGTCTGCCTTTGATGACCGCAAAAGTTTGCGGGGCGATGGGTCCAAATACACTTTGTCAGGCTTTGTTTGGGCCTTTAAGGTAAGAATTTCTATATAATGTTTCTAAAATTATAATTAATTATTTAACAATTACTAATTTTGTTATTATATTGTTTGTAGATTTGGATATTCGAGGCTTTCCCCAGCATGCGTACATATGCAATAAAAACGTCAAATGATATTCCCAGGGCTATTTCCTGGAAGAGGAAAACTCTGTTGGATTGGGAAGACTTAATACCATATGCCACAATAAATAATGTAAGTTAACACAAATACTTTCATATAATATATAAACAAGTTATTAATAGTAGACGTTTAACTTTGTTTGAGTTTTTATATTTTAGGAGGCCAACATTCCATTACAAAGACTGACACCCACGGAGGAAGAGCTTGCCACTGATTGGTGGCAAGCTAGTCAGAATTTTTTTGATGGCACGGATGATGAGCAGCATCCACTTCCTCCAATTCGAGAGCCATCACCTCACCTAGAGCCATCACCCGATCGAACCGACTATACACCTCTAGAACGAGAGCCATCACCTATCCCGTCACATCATCGAGCCTCTTCTCCACCATCACCTCATGATAGGCGACCGGCAAAGATGCCACGACTCCTATCTCCCTGTTCTCCACCTCCACCTCAACGGGATGAGTCAAGGGAGTTACGTGATGAGGTCAATGCCTTGCGTGAGGAGATCGGTACTCTACGCGATAACGATGGTGCATGGCGTGTGGAGGTGTCAACTTTACGTGGTGAGGTTGCCGCTCTACGTGAGATGATAGTATCGTTGCAGAATGAGGTTCATACTCTACGCAACGAGGTAAGTTTAAGATTTTCCATATTTAACTTAATGATAAATTTACTCGTAATTTCACTTAGATTAGCCATTTCACTTAGATTGCTTAGTAAATTTATTCGGTTGCTGCCAATTCTGCTAAACTGTGTATTCTTTAACACTGTGAAATAGTATTTGTCTTTGTTTTGTCTTTTGGTTGAAAGTAAATTTGTTCGGTTGCTGCCAATTCTGCTAAACTGTGTATTCTTTAACACTGTGAAATATATTTGTCTTTGTTTTGTCTTTTGGTTGAAAGTAAATTTGTTCGGTTGCTGCCAATTCTGCTAAACTGTGTATTCTTTAACACTGTGAAATAGTATTTGTCTTTGTTTTGTCTTTTGGTTGAAAGTAAATTTGTTCGGTTGCTGCCAATTCTGCTAAACTGTGTATTCTTTAACACTGTGAAATAGTATTTGTCTTTGTTTTGTCTTTTGGTTGAAAGTAAATTTGTTCGGTTGCTGCCAATTCTGCTAAACTGTGTATTCTTTAACACTGTGAAATAGTATTTGTCTTTGTTTTGTCTTTTGGTTGAAAGTTTCAATTTGCAGAAGAAGAAATAGTTTACTTTCGCAACACGAAACTTAAAATCGCAACGCGAAACCAAAATCGCAACGCGAAATGAAAATCGCAACGACAGAATCGCAACGCGAAACCAAAATCGCAACGACAAGATCGCAACGCGAAACCAAAATCGCATTGTGATTTTCATTTCGCGTTGCGATTCTTTCGTTGCGATTTTCATTTCGCATTGCGATTCTGTCGTTGCGATTTTCATTTCGCGTTGCGATTTTGGTTTCGCGTTGCGATTTTAAGTTTCGTGTTGCGAAAGTAAACTATTTCTTCTTCTGCAAATTGAAACTTGAATGGATTGCATTACTTCAACCAATAGACAAAACAAAGACAAATACTAACTTCAGGGTATTAGTTTGAAACATATTTTTCTTTGTTATCTGATGCATTTTGTGAACTATGATAGAATAATGACTTGGGTGAATACAATGCAAGTTTGAAACATATTTGTCTTTGTTTTCACTGTTTAAATATCATGTCTGTTTATTTACTGATTTTTGTATTTAATTATTTAGCGGCCCGATAGAGTGGATGCTTTACGTCGGGTTATGCTTGCACGACGGAGTTCACGCATCAGACAGCGTGCACGTGCTATTAAGTCTCCGTACACCCCAATAGTGCGAAGACACCGCAAGAAGAAGCCCGACTCGCCTGTCATCCCTCAAGAGTCCACTCCTATCGTTGAAGAGGCCCCCCATATCATTCCTCGAGAGTCCCCTCCCACCGTTTAAGAGGCCACTGTCATCATTGAAAAGGTCCCTCCCACCATTCAAGAGCCCGATTCACATGGCGTCATATGTAGGCTTCTTGAGAAACCCTCTGACGTGCCGGACATGATGGATTCAAGTTGGCTCTCGTATGAGTTACCGGCCAGTACCATACCGGTATCTGAAGAGGAGAGGGAACAACTACCGGACACAATTTTGGATAACACCCTTTGGGCTAAGACCGCAGTTGATTTTTATCTACATGAGCGGAGCAAGGGGTGTTTCACTGACATATGCAAGCTCACCGATGATATCTTTTTGTTGCTTGAACGGCCTTGGTGGGGCGTATTATTAGGGGTCGAAGACAATGGCTATTTCGATGGGGGGGTAAGTCTTATATTTTTCTTATATTTCAATTTGATTAATTTTTTTTTTAAATTTATGTAAGTCACTAATATATGTCTTTTTTTGTAAAACAGCATATCGATGCG